CCTCGCGGGCCTGGGCAACAGCTGGGAGCTGGCAGCAAAAAAGCCGATGGTGGGTGGTGTCAGGCTCACCGCATTCACATCGGCCAGCTCGGAGGGTGACATAACCATTGTCATGTGCAAGCTGTTCCGTCCACAAACAGTCGCAGACAGCAGCTTGAACTCAATATTTATGGTACTTATTATACTGAGTCTTGGACCTGAGGCAAAACCTAACCACGTCCAGGTTGGCCCTAACTCCTTCAGCAAACCCCCACTTCACCCCGAGCGACTTCTCATGGGCAGCCTGGAGCGCGGTGCTGAACATTTTTCCTAGCACCGCAGGAGAGCATTGCGTGAGCTGGATGGTAATGCCATCCTGGTTGTCCCACTCAGTGGCCGAAGCAGGCCTCCGCCTTACGCGAGCAAGGCAAAGCGGGATCCTGGAGATCGGGCCGCGGGTTTGAGCCCAGGAAATATCCGACTGATCCTGGGAAAAAACGCGGCCCCACATTCGTTCTAATTCAGTTAGGCCTACGAGTGCACCAGACGGAAATGCCACAGCATGCCATATCATCTTGGACCACTGGGGTGCGGGTGCCATGGCCTCACGCACCGCGGGCTCGCCGTGCAAGGCCAGCTTGGCGCGCAGGCTCGCGCCCCTCGTAGCGGGCGCCAGGTAGGGCATGGCCTGGCGACGGGTGGCGAGCAGCTCCTGGTCGTCGACGCCGTTGACCTCGACCCCATAGTGAGCTGCCATCTTGATTCCAGTGGTGTAAACCCTTCCTAGCCTCTCATCTGCTTTCCTCATGGACTTGAGCTTGGCCGCCTTGGCCAGGCGCTGGGAGGACTTCCGCAAACGCATCTTCCTCTTGCCAGCGGTGCGGGCTTGTCCCCGTCGCCGCCCGCAGGCAAAATCCGTGCCAAGGTAGGTGGCCGCTGGTTTGGACTTATCTTTGGCGAGGCCGGGCTTCGTGGTCACCTCCACGCCAAGGGCGCTATCACTGGCCACGACGGCGACCTTATCATTGAGAGTGGCCTGAAGTCGTCGGGAAACTGCTTGGAACTGCACGCCCGCTTGGATCGCAACGCCTGCGACGATGTCTCGGCCACAGCCGCTCACGTGGACCCCAGTGTCGTCAATGTAGCTCATGAAATCGATCGACGGGTTTGCGGCATCGAACCGCAACATCAGCAAATGCACGGCCTGCTGGTAGCCCGAACGTGGCGAACAAGACTGTGCTGCTGTGGTGCAGGCCCAGGCGAATGATGCGTGGTGGCTGCCACGTGTTGAAAATTAACTTGAGAATCGGCATGGGCATGCCGCAGGCAAGGAGGCGACCGCGTAACACCTCCAGCGGGATGCCCTCGTAGAACTTGCTGTAGTCCATCAGAATCAGAAGGCTGTAATTGTTCTGGCTGACCTCAGCCTCACTGCGCGCAGCCTGCAACCAAGACAGATCGAGTGCACTACGGCCTGCCAGGGCGCCCCAGTACGGGCGGCGCAGCTGCTGGTGAAGGCCATCGAGGTCACGGCGACGAAGTCTCTGCCAGACACGGTACATGCCCGAGAACATTATTATCAGTCGGTGGCCCTGGTCAGGCTTAGCTAGCATGGGCATGACAATGAAACATAACTGGCGAGGCAATAGACCAATCCGTTCGCACGCCTCGAAGAGCGCTGCCATGGCGTCGAGCGCAGCGCGAGGAAGTAGCCCAAGGTGACGAGGATGCACTCGATCAATACTGGCAGTTGTGGTGCGCGGAAACCTGTTGGCCACATCGCGGATGACGTCCGCGCTGGCCCTGTCCATTTCCGTCCTGTCGGGCGTCCAGGCTTGGCTCGGAACCTGGCTAGCATGCCACAGCTTCTCATATTTGCGAACCTCAGCCTCGACGATATCATGAGGATGTGCCGTGAGCCCTCCAGCAATGCGAACTACCGTAGGGTGGGGTGCATTGGGTACTCGGGTAGTGCGGTGAAGTCCTCGCGCACCATTGGACGATGCCGCGTCGCGCCAGTCCTGTCACCGTTGGCGATCATCTTTAACTTCATCCAGCTCGGCCTTCCGTGCATCAGCTGCAATGTCTCGACGGTACTGCTCAAGAATTCCAGCAGCTCGGCGGCTGTCACGTCGGAGCCGAGGGGCGGCGCAGGTCTCGAAAACATCGTCCTGAGTGGCGGTGCCAGGCTGGTCCCCGAGCTGCACATTGATGCCAAAGAAATCGCCCAGGTCAATGTCGGGCTCGTCAAACTGCAGGCCTTCCTGTCCTGAAGGGCCAACCCCGACAGCGGCCGCAGGGGCCACTTCAGCGCGTAGATGTGCTGTGGACGGTGCTGGTAGCGGGCCTCGGGCTCCAGCTGCACGAAGTAAGGCATTACCTACAGCGACACGCGCCTCGAGAACACTGGCATCCAGACGTGCGCATAGACCCTGCCCGAAATATCCAGCGGTCGAAAACACATCCACCTCGGCTTCCAGACAAGGTACCGTGGCGTGCTTGAGCCTCATGAGCTTGCACAGGTTGTCCAGGGACTGCGATGGCCATGTCCAGCCGCGAGAGATCGCCTTGGCTTCAGCAACTGTCTCGGGGCGGTGATTGTAATCCACCCATCTGGCTTTGGGTGGCGCCCCCCACGAAGCGCTGCTGGACGTACTCTGGCAAGTGACTGCACTAACCTCCTTCTCAGCGGCATGGGCGAAGGTAGCCCACGCTCGCGACAAAATGCACCATGCTTCTCGGACAGGCTGCTGGCGACTAGCATCGACGGCCGCCTCAGCCATCACAGAGGGGTAATGCCAGTCTGGGCCTGCTCGAGTAGGTCCAATGATACGTTCGGTCTCATACTTCTTTGCCACCGTGTATACCATGCACTGCTGCCTTAGGCCTTCCGTGGAAAGACCCAGTGAGATAGGGCGGCGAGGTCGCTTCGGCCATGATGTGTCCACGTGGACGGACTCAAGCAACCTCTCGGCAATAGCGTTGACAGCAAAGAAATCAATCGTACGGCTAGACTTGGGCGTGATGCAAGTGGGCAGGGACGGGGCCACGAGCACCATCTTGGCCTCTCTCGGGAAACCTGACTCATCGATGTCCCTCGGGGTAGCATTCCAGTCGCCAGCCAGGACGACGGGGTCGGCGATCTCGGAAACCCGCGCGCCGATCTGAGCCAGGATGCGCGCGTTCCTGCCCTTGATGCCCTGGTTGACCACCAGGTAGAAACAGACGATGTGCAACGGCGGCCAGCCAGGAAGGTGCACAACTGCGTGTAGTGCGCGGCGCTGGTGAAGGGACAGCGCGGGCGCAACCTGGTCCCCGAAGTCCAACGTGATCCCTAGCAAGAGTAGCAACACCCTGCGCGGGCGCTGTTCCCTTGGACTTGGCGCCAGGGCTGGTGAGGAATCATCGTTATCATCATCATGGAATCCGACTTCCTGCGCGACGAAGATTGTCGCTGACGAAACCTGTATCTTTTCCTTCAGCGTGCGGATGCCACGGTTGGCGTTGAAGGATTCCACAAAGAACTGGCTTCTAGGGTCAGCATTCGGTGGTGGCCGAACTTGGCCGTGATGGACAGGTAAGCTACTGACTAGTACAGGCATATCAAAGGCGCTGCCGTTTATCTCGATGCATGGCCAGTAGCTTGTCATGGAACTTCTGCATGAGGTCTTCGTTGCTGTCGTCCGGGTTGCCCCCTTTGACGAGCTCGAACAGTGCCTTTGACTCCTCGAAAGTGGGGTCGAGGTCACGCTTGACGCCGCCACCAGATGAGCCGTCATCGCCAGGAGTAGGAGGCACATCAGGACTCTCAGCGGGCGGCTGTGGCATAGGGGCGTCCTCATGCTCGGGCACGGTTGCCTTGCGCACCTGGCCCTCGAGGTCCGCGAAGAACTTGGCAATGGTGTCCGCTCCGATGGACTCGAGGGCGGTACGGATCTCCTCGGGGAGCCCATCCTTGTCGAACTTGAAATCAGAGAAGAGGGACCGCTCTGGGGCGACGGCCTTGGCGGTCTCAGCGAACGACTTCTTGTAGCCATCGATATCCGCCTCCTTGGAAATGATTACGGCCCTCTTGTTCTCCAGTGCAGCCTGGAGATCATGAACTTGCTTGGACATATTCTCGGCCTCGCGCTGGAGCTTGACCAGCTGCGATTGCGCATTCTTGAGCTTATCCTGGGCCCTGCGATGGGCAGCCTCAGGAGACTGGACACTCTCGAGCTGCACACGGAGGGTCTCGAGCTCAAGCTGGTGCGCCTGCTTGACATGAGACGGCAGCGACGGCTCCTTGAGGGACTTCTCATAGAAAGCGATCGACGAGAGAATCTCCGCACGGGTAGCTCCAGCATCCTTCGGCCTCTCAGCTCCTGTGCCCTGGTCGGGCGTCGGGTTCTTGAGGCTTGTGTTGGCCAGCTTGCGCTCGAGCGCGGCCAGCTGCTTGCGGAGTTCCTCATTGTGGTCCCGTGCCCATGGCGCTGGTGTGGCACGACGGCCACCAAGCACGGGCTTCCTCCCTTGCACTTCCTTCTCAGCTTTAGCGTGTGCGGTCTTGGCTGCGGCGACAATGCGAGCTGGGGCAGCGGTGCCGCAACGGCAGCGGACTCGGCACGCCCAGCTCTTGTCTGCGCCACAACTGCATCCCCAGTACGGCGACCTGGGGCCGCGCAGCACATCGGAGGCGGGAGGCGGTGGGACCATGGGGCGCACGAGCCCTCCAGCTGGAGGACCCCTGAAACCCTCGACAGAGGGACCTCCGTGAGAAAGGATGAGACTGGTGCAGGCGCCCAACCCCTGCAGTAAAGGCGAAGAACTTCGAGGTCAAGCCGCGGACTAGCGGTATCCGTTGTGGCCCCAAGGGAACCAGGCATCTTGAGCCAGAATGGCTACGGAAGAGGAGGTGGCGGAGGTGGCGGAGGAGGCGGAGGAGGAGGAGGAAAAGGAGGCGGCGGAGGCGGAGGTGGCGGAGGAGGAGGGCGAGGCCGAAGAGGAGGAGAAGGGGAGGCGTCTGAGCACGCGCGCCCCGCCTGAGACCGCGACGGCGGCCTCGGGGTCGAAGGCGGGCGCCGCGGCACCGAGCCCCGCGGCCTGCCCGGCCAGCCGGCGCCGCAGCCCCGGCGCGAGCAGCGCGTCGGGGCACGCGGCCTGCCTCTGGGGGGGGGGGGGGGGCGCGCGCGCCGGAGGCCCAGGGCTGCCCACGAGCGGCAGACGTGCGGCGGGGCCCAGGCCAGGAACATTCGAGTACGGATGTTCGGCGAAAAATATCAATCAAAGTCGCAAAATTCTCAAAACAAAAAAAGAGTCAATAATAGTAGTAAAACTTGTCCCCAGACTATTCTCATACCATTTTTGGAATTTCTTTCGGTATAGGGGAACATGCCCGACTCAAAAACACGAGCTATCGGCAACTTCTCGATCGCCGAATCATTTTCCAGACAGTATTCGGGCTGACCTAAAGAACGATAAACAAGGAACGAAGTCCCTCTTGTTCCAAGTAAGTCTAGGAAGTCCGAAGGAACACCAGAGGGGGCTCGCCGCCAAAGAGGTAGCTGAGCGCATGCGAACCAAAGGAACGACAGAGCCCCTCTTGAGAAAAGGAATTGTTCCTTATTCAAGCTGGATCCTGTAGGGGATCGAGTGCAGAATTGATGTACTGCAGTAAGGGATCGACTACAGAATTGGTTTGTGCGTCGACGTCCATGAGACATGCGTAGAGTGTTCGTAGATCTACGAGTATGTTACGTGTCACCCGACGAAACAAACTACTCTGGGGTAAATCTGTTCTGTAATCGATCCCATTCTCGGAACATCCTCCAAAAACATGGGACCCTCCGCAAACCAAACGGAAAACCATCGAGAGTACCCTCCCCCAGGGTGCACAAGAACATGCAGAACACCCGAAGAACATTAGGGCACCCTCCCCGAACCGATCTCGATCTAATATACCTCAGTCCGACCGTATCCAGATCCGCGCCCTCGCGGTCTGGACTCCTGGGCGCGATCCCGCGGATACGCGCTGGGTCGTTGAGGCGAGCACCTCGCGACGAAGGTAAACACACGGAATCTGCGGATGCACGATAGACTGCACTGCTGCCGTTGCTTCAGGCACCACATGCGGGAGTCCGTCCCTGTCCATCGACACGGATGGGCATCCAGGCCTATACGGCTCAACCTCCCTGGGGAAGGCCGTGCATGCCCTAAATGTGAGGGCACAAGGTCCTAGGCCACTGCCGCCCGGCCATTCACTGAACAAGCGGCTACTTAGGGGCGCTCTTCAGGTTCATGGAACTCTTAGTGGCGCCCCGAGCGTCCCCTGGGCTCTTCCCCTTAACACAATCGAATTGCGTCGGCACGGGGAGGGGAAGAGGAGGAGGAGGAGGAGGAAGAGGATGAGGAGGAGGAGGAAGAGAAGAAGAAGGGAGAGGAGTGGGAGGAGGAGGAGAAGGAGGAGGAGGAGGATGGGAAGAGAAGGAGGATGAGGAGGAGGAGGAGGATGAGGAGGAGGAGGAGAGGGAGGAGGATGAGGAGGAAAGAGGAGGCGGAGGAGGAGGAGGAGCAGCAGCAGCAGCAACAGGAGGAGGAGCAGAAGGAACACTAGGAGGAGCAGGATGAGGAGAAGGAAGGATCGTGAACAAAACACGTATTATCTGCGAAAGCCCCCGCTTTCCCGCTCGAAGCGACTCCCCGAGTGCAATCCCCACACCACCCGAGGCGCCCTGAGTGCGACGCCTCCCTTGCTCTATCCAGGGCCTCCAAGGTGCCCAAGATGGCTTCCAAGACGGCCACGGCAAGCAAGCCAACAAGGCCACCAAGATGGCCCAAGACCTCGATCCGGCACGATATAGCACACATAATACAAAAGAAGGCCCCATGACTGCCGAAGAGGCTCCCAGAACGGCTCACGAGGGCTCGAATAGAACCTCCAGTAGGGCTCGAAGAGGCTAACACCAGTCAAGTCCCATCGGTCTTTCATGTACTTCCGCTCACCTTTTTCCCAACCCATGCTGCGGTATTGGGTTGGGTCGTCGTTTTGACGAGACGGTGCCCCGCGTTCTCATCGCCCCTCCTCTCCTCTCCTCTCCTCATCCTCCTCCTCCTCCCCCACCTCCCTCCTCCATCATCATTATCATCACCCGTTTCAACACACCACTCAGACGTTTCGTGGCCCCATAGGGAGCTCCACCGAAGGTCCCAGTGGTTGTGCCCGCATGCGTCCCCCACACCCATGTCGGCACACCCCTCACACGTTTCGTGGCCCGATAGCGACCTCCACCGAAGGCCCCAGTTGGTGTGCCCGCATGCGTCCCCCACACCCATTTCGGCACACTGCTCACACGTTTCGTGGCCCCATAGGGAGCTCCACCGAATGTCACAGTTGGTGTGCCCGCATGCATCCCCCACACCCATGGCAGACGCATTCCTGGACACATGGCAGACGCATTTCTGGACACCCCTGACACGCGTCTTAGCCTCATAGGGAGCTCGACTAGGTTCCAACGGGTGTGCCCGCATGCGTCCCCCACACCAATGTCGGCACACCCCTCACACGTTTCGTGACCCCATAGGGAGCTCCACCGAGGGTCTCAGTGGGTGTGCCCGCATGCTTCCCCCACACCCATTTCGGCACACACACACACACACCTCACACGTTTCGTGGCCCCATAGGGAGCTCCCCAGAAGGTCCAAATGATTGTGCCCGCATGCGTCCCTCGCACCCGTTTCGGCACACCCTTCACACGCTTCGTGGTCCCACAGGGAGCTCCACCGAAGGCCCCAGTTGGTTTCCCCGCATGCGTCCCCCACGCCCATTTCGGCACACCTCTCAGACGCTTCGTGGCTCCATAGGAAGCTCCACCGAAGGCCCCAGTGGGTGTGCCCGCATGCGTCCCCCACACCCATGTCGGCACACCCCTCACACGTGTCCTGGCCCCATCACGCATTTCTGCACACCCCGCACAAGCTTCGTGGTCGGAGCTCCACCGAAGGCGTCAGTGGGTGTGCCCACATACGTCTCCAAGACCCATGTCGGCACGCCCTCGCTTCGTGGCCCCATAGGGAGCTCCACCTACGTAAGGTTCCAGTTGGTGTGTGCCCGCATACCACACACATTTCGGCACACCCCTCACACGTTTCGTAGCCCCATAGGGAGCTCCACCGAAGGTCCCAATGGGGCCCTACTGGAGGCCCTGGTGGCAAAGTTCGCATGCGGCTCCACCCCGAGTCTAACACACTGCGGACCCTGCCACTGGAGCCTTCGGTGGAACTCCTTGTGGGGCCACGAACCGTGTGAGGGGTTTGCCAAAATGGGTGGCGGTCCCCGCATGCGGACCCTGCCACTGGGGCCGTCGGTTGAACTCCACACGGGGCCACGAACCGTGTGAGGGGTGTACCAAACTGGGTCGCGGTGTGACTAAATGGGTGACGGTGCCCGCATGCAGACCCTGCCTCTGGGGCCTTCGGTGGAGCTCCCTGTGGGGCCACGATCCTCGTGAGGGGTGTGCCGAAATGTGTGGCGGTCCCGCATGCGGACCCTGCCGCTGGGGCCTTCGGTGGAGCTCCCTGTGGGGCCACGAACAATGTGAGGGGTGTGCCAACATGGGCGGCCGTCCCCGCATGCGGACCCTGTCACTGGGGCCTTCGGTGGAGCTCCCTGTGGGGCCACGATCCTCGTGAGGGGTGTGCCGAAATGGGTGGCGGTCCCCGAATACGGACCCTGCCACTGGAGCCTTCGGTGGAGCTCCCTGTGGGGCCACGCACAATGTGAAGGGTGTGCCAAAATGGGTGGCGGTCCCCGCATGCGGACCCTGCCTCTGGAGCCTTCGGTGGAACTCCCGGTGGGGCCACGAACCGTGTGAGGGGTGTGCCGACATGAATGGCGCCGACGCATGCGGCCTGTGCCACTGCGGAGAGTAGAGGCATTGAGGGGGGGAGGGGGGAGGGAGCAGCGGGGAGTGAGGAAGGGGCAGCGGGAGGAGGTGAAACGCGGGGCGCTGCCTCGTCAATACGAGGACCCAACACCACAGGATGGTTGGGAACAACTGCAAGACGATGCTGATGCTATTGATGATGATGATGATGATGATGATGATGATGATGATGATGATGATGATGATGATGGGGATGATGATGATGATGATGATGATGCTGATGATGATGATGATGATGACGACGACGCTGCGAGGAGGGAGGGGGCAGCGGGAAGGGAGGAAGGAAGGAACGCGGGGCCCTGTCTTTTCAAAACGAGGACCCAACACCACAGGATGGTTGGGGAAAACAGCAAGACGATGACGTTGACGATCTTGATGATGATGATGATGATGATGATGATGATGATGATGATGATGATGATAACGACGATGCGAGGAGGGAGGGGGCAGCGGGAAGGATGGAAGGACAGAAAGCCGGGCGCTGTCTCTTCAAAACGAGGACACAACACTACAGGAAGGTTTGGGAAAAAACAAGCTCCAGCCGCGTCCGCGCGCACAACGGCGATGAGCGACGAACGACGAGCGACGACGACAACGACGATGACGATAACGACGACGACGACGACAACGACGACGACGGCAGCGATCGCGACGACGACGACGACAACGACGACGAATGCGGACCAGACTCCCATGCGGATTCCTAAGCGGACACCTATGCGAATCCCGATGCGCATGGCGGCAGTGCCCGGAGCACACTGGGGCGGGGGGGCGTTACGTCATAGGGAGAGGGGGGGGGGCGGCGGGGGCCATGACGCCCGTCATGCCCCAAGCCATTAAGAAACAATCCTCAACATCAGAGAATCACGTACATCCGCCGGGGAACCTCGCCGAAACCGTGGAGACAACTGACGCCCCTGTGGATATCTGCACTGACCCCCCCTAGTCTCTCGACCCCATCGTCGCCCCTGGGAGAATAAGGCGAATGAAGACAACGGCCAATCCGTGGCGCCACGAGGCCCCCCCTGGAGGCGAACTAAGTTGTAAACAACTCACGGACGTTTTTGGACGTCCCCGTGGCGCCCAATAGCGAGACCAATCGTGCGCAAAGCGGGTACGACGCATCTCCCTGCAATGGCGCTGCTGGGCACTGTTGGTCGCTGTTGGGCGCCTTCCGAGCGCTGCTCGGCGCTCCTGGGCGCCACTTGGATGCTGTTTGGGCGATGCCTGGCGCTGTTGGGCGCTGTTCGCCGACATACATTCGATCCTGTAGCAGCGGAACCGTCCATGATATACCTCTGAGTTCCTCCGATCCGAGAAGGAAGGAGGGAGAGGCCGAGGCGGAGGAGGAGGAAGAGGCGGAGGAAGAGGCGGAAGAGGAGGAAGAGGAGGAAGAGGAGGAAGAGGAGGAAGAGGAGGAAGAGGAGGAGGAGGAGGAGGAGGAGGACGAGGAGGAGGAGGAGGGTAAGCAGACCCGGCGGCCGCAGGCCTCGAGCAGGCGCTGCGGGCCACCTGCGGGGAAGCGCTCGCGTAGCCGGCCTGGGAGTCCACGACGGTGCCGAGGGGCGCCACGAGGTCCACGGCGCCGGCGCCCCCGCGGAGGAAGCGCTGCAAGATCGAGACCACCTGGGCTCGAGGGGCCGGCCATCGCTGGCCATCGCTCGGACGTCCGTTCCCTGTGTTGTCTTCGGTTTCGCGCGTGGCTTTTTCGCCGAATCATCAAGGATGCTCCTCGATGGTCCTCGCCGAAGGAAAAGTGCACACGTCCGAGCGATGCCGAGGCCATCGCCCCGAGACCCCCTGGCGTCGTGGAAAGAGATCGCGACAAAGACGTGGTCCCAAGTCTCGGTCTCCGGGTGCCGTCGCCGGGCCCCGGGGGCCGGCCGAAAACTACTTTGGAGGAGCAGAATGCTTCACACTCCCCTGCTTGCCAGCCTCGAACGTATCCCTATCCCTAAGATTGACACGCCAAAAGGCGATGACAATCTTAGGGACTCGCCCTCAAAAAATAAGGGAGCCCCTAAGATTGGCATCGTGATGAGGAGGTGCCCAGCATAGGGATAAGGATATGCTCCGGGCTGGCAACCTGCAACGTCCGCGATGGGGAAGGGCATCGGAGACGTGGCGGGTCGGGGGTGGTGCGATCGGAAATGATGGTAGTGCCAGGCATGGCAGCAGCACTGGACGCGACCACCGTTGCGGACAACGCCCGGGCCTACTCAAGACCGGGTGGGCGAGGCCGCGGCCTCGGGGATCTGGCGTGTGTGGACAGCATGCAATGCGAGACCAATTGGCAAAACAACTGACAGGAGGGACGGAGGGAGGATGGTCCTTGGGGTCGGTCGTGTCGGCCTGTGTTGGAAAAGAGGAATGGGGGGAGGAAAAGGAATTCCTTGGTGTCGGCGTCGGCGTGGGATGTCTCGCTGGGCGTTCGCCTCATTGGCTTCGGTTCTGGGTGTCTGCTGGTGTGGGGTCAACGCCGTGGTGCTCGAGCGCCGTCCATATTTCGGTGTCCTTGTTGACGAACCCGGTATGTGTGAGCGTGTCGTGGATAATGATGCCGTCGTTGATGCTTCACGGCTTCATACTCGTGTGGTCGCATGGCAATCGCAAGCGCGGGAACTGGAGCCGGAAAGATGAGATCCAAGAGTGGAGCCAAAATCGGAGAGATCAAATAGGATGGGAGCTGGAATCGGAAACATGGGAGCCGGAGTCGGACCCAAGGTCGGAAAGATGTGAGCCGGGGTCGGAACGGGAGTTGGAGTCGGAAGGATGGTATGGGATAGCGGATATTTGGGAGCTGGAATCGGAGCCAGAGTCGGAGAGATGGGATCCAAGATAGGAGCCGGAATCGGAGATTGGATGGGTCGGAAAACTGGAAACCGGAGTCGGAGCTGGAACCTTGACGTCGATGTCGGCGTGATGCTCTTTCACGTGTTGATGTAGTGGTGCTCGAAGTAATACCACGTGGTGGTGCTTTGCACCGTTGGAACCCACGTGAGGTCGTTAGGCTGCCCCGCGTCGCGCGTTGGAGCCGGGGCTGGGTGGAGGTCCGGCCTGTGCCGTCGCTGGTGTGCAAGAACTGCGTCGTCCCAGCGTTTGTGCTGGCGCCCGTGTTGTCGACGTGCGTCAGGCTGGCAGTGCAAAGCCCCCCATGTCCACCTGGTGGGCGCGTGGTTGGCCACTGTCGCTGCCATTCTCCATACCTTATTTCTGCGTGTCGTCACCCAGCTGTCTACATGGTGGAACTTGATGAGCTGAACCCCGCGTCGCGTGGCACGTTCGATGTATTCGACCCAAGGCTCACTGAGGTCCGTGTCGTTGTCGTTGTAGGTGCCATCGCTGCTACGAGCTGGTGTCGATGCTGTGCTGTGTTGCGGCAGGTTGCTGTCTGCGTCGTCGCTCCGGCAGCCCTCGTGGCTGGTGTCGTCGTGGGATTCATTGTCCTGTGCGGCTTCGTCCGTGCCATCAATGCCCGTCGCGCCTTGGATGTAGCCGCTGTTCGCCGGGGTCGCCCAATCGTCGAGGCGTCCTGATAATCATGCGAAGGAGCGTCGCTGTGTCCGCTGGAGGTGCTGCCGAAGTGGTTCCGTGAGTGTCCACGTTTCTGCTGCGTACAATGCTGTCGGTGTCACGGTGCTGTTGAAAAACCTGGGTCGGAGTGCAAGTGGGTAGTGTTTACTTGTCAGCTCTTGTTTGTGGGAGGTAAGCGATGCCCAAGCAGCTCTTGTGCGATGGTGAACTTCTGTCTCCACGGGGCTGTGAAGCTGATCTGCTGGCCGAGATATTTAGGACTGCCCTCGGAACGAAAAATGTCGATGTCCATGTCCTGGTCGCGTGCTGTGCGCGAGCTCGCCCAGCCTGTCCTTCTCGTGAGGTTGCTCATGATGTTTATTTTGTCTGGGTGTAGCTCGAGCCCGTGGGGGCGCGCTGCGCTGGCAATATCGTCGAGCATGGCGGTGAAGCGCCGGAGGGTTTGGCTCGTCAGGAGCACGTCGTCGGCGAACCGCAAATTACTGAGCGTTGAAAAGTGTCGTGAATCCCACCCGTACTCCTTATTTGCGTTTCTTCTGCCAGTCAGCGATCCATGGTGCAATGATGTGCTGCAGAAGGGAATTGAAAAGCAAGGAGTTGAGTGGGTCGCCTTGCTTGGTGCCCCGCAAAAGAATGAACGACCTGCTTGTGACATCGGTCTTCACCGTTCGATTGTCCTGCGTACAGCTGCTTGAGTAGTGACATGTACCCTTGTGGTACACCCTGCGCTTTTAGTGCTGCCCAAACACTTGTGTGCTCAACTGTGTCGAGGGCTTTTTGAAGCCGAAAGCTGCGACCCACAAGTTCTGGTTCCCTTCCTGCGCTTGCTCACGGATCATACGAAACGTAAACAGGAGGTCGGTAATCGAATGTCCTGGTCTGAACCTGGCCTGGTCAGCAGTCTGTCGAGTCCAGGGTTGGTTGAAGCCAGTTGTAGAGCAGAGGACTAAATAGTTTGTACAATAATGGTATCGTTCAGATCGGTCGGTAAGTATGGGGAAGTGCGAGATCTCCACTTTTTGGAATGACTGTGAATGCCGCTGCTCCTCCAGCTAGCCGGCGGTGGGGCTTTGAGCTGAATGACGGTGTTGTAGAGATGGAGCAGTGCACTTTTGAGCTCCGCTGTGCCTTCCTTCAGCATCTCTGCACGGAGGCCTCTGGTGTCGGGGGCCTTACGAAGTCGGAGTCCTTTGGTTGGTTTGCTGAGCTCAGTCATGGTGAAAGGTGGGATCTCGTCGCCGGGTCCCTCTGGCAGTGTCGGCGCTGCTTCTGGTGGTACTGCTGCTCGGTCTGGGTCGGCGGTGGGTGCTGGTGGGTCCTGCTGGACTGTCTGCGTCGGCGCTGCTTGCGGTGCTGGTCGGCGGTCGTCGGTGGCTGCTGCTGGGTGCTGCTGGTGGACTGGAGTCGGCGTTGCTTGTGGCGGTGCTGGTCGGTGGTGGTCGTTGGTGGGTGGTGCTGGTCGGCTGGGGCCGGCGCTGCTCGTGGTGCTTGTCGGTGGTAGGCGGCGGTCGTCAGTGGGCGCTGCTGGTCGGTCTGGGTCGACGTCGCTCGTGGTGCTGTTGACCGAGATGGTCGGCGGTGGGTGCTGGTGGGTGCTGTTGGTCGGTAACGGTCGGTGCTGCTTGTAGTGCTGGTCGGCGGTCGTCGGTGGTCGTTCGTGGGTCGGTGTTGGTCGGTGGTAGTGCTGCTGGTCGGCGGCGTTGCTGATCGTGTTGCTGCTTGTCGGCGGTGGTGCTGGTTGTCGCGGCTTGTGGTGCTGCTGGTCGGCGGTGGGCGGCGGTCGGTGATGGGTGCTGCTGTTCGGTCTGGGTCGGTGCTGCTTGCGGTGCTGGTCGGTGGCGGTCTGTAGTCGCCGGTCCGGTGGGTGCTGCTGGTCGGTTGGGGTCGGTGCTGTTTGTGGTGCTGCTGGTCGGCGGTGGTCGGTGGCGGAGCCCTCTTGCCACGTCGATTCCGCCGTCGAATTGTAAAGTTCTTCGCAAAATTCTGCAAACACGTCTACTCTTTCCTGTCTCGTCGTGCGTTTTGATCCAGCCTTGTCTGTCATGTGTGTGATGAGAGTCCGCTTTGTCCTGGTCTTGATGCTCGCGATGCTCTTCAAATGTCTGAACTGCTCGAGAACACCTCCAATATGTTCACGTTTCCTCCGCTTTTGCGTGCGGATGTTTTGCTGCATGAGTTTGCTTAACTGCTTTCTGGCGTCGTGGCCGCCGTTTGGAGTCTGCCGTCGTTGTGCTATTAGCGCGTATAGTCGTCGTGCCTCTCTGTTGGTCTGGTTGTCGGTCTGTTGGTCGGCCGTCGGTCTGCTGGTCGGTCGACGCTCATGTGGTGGTGCGTCGTGTGGTTCTGTCGTTTGCTGGTGTGCTTGTCGTTCTGTTGCGTCTTGTTGCTGTTCTGGCTGGGTGCTCTGCACTGCGTTGTTTCTCCCGCCCTCGTGATGGCATGCCCCCGCGTTGCTAGCAACGACAGCGTCGACAATGACTTGTTGGATGTGTTCGCAGAGTGTTTCCGGGTCGGGTGGCAGGTCGTCTGGGCAGTCTTGGCCGCAAGTTGTCTTGGTAGGCGCTTCTGTCGTTGAGCGCGGTGGCCAGAGATGTGGACTTCAAACGGTTCGCCTTGTTCTCATAGACGTTGGTATCCGCAGGTCGGCGACGACAGCCTTGTGGTCGGATCCCAGGTCGCTTCTATTGTTGGACTCGGCGTTCGTGCAGTGTCGGAAAAGCGTGCGATTCAGGAAAATATGGTCGAGCTGCTTGTGATTGGCGCCGGAGCTGTATGTGATTTGTTTAGCGTCCGGTTTGCGGAGGAATGCATTCGCAATGGTAAGCTTGGGCAGCCCAGTTCTTCAGCCAGGTACACCTTGAGTTCTCGTTACCGTATCCATGTCGACCAACGTATCTCGACGTGACGTGGTTGAATGAATCGGAGCCCTCATCGTCGTCTGGCGACCGAAAGGCGACGAACGGCGACCAGTACTAGAACCACCGGTAAAGGCGACGAAGACGAAGAAAACGACGATGACAACCAGCTGCAACGCCAACCACAACGACAACGACAACGGCAACGACGACAACGACGAGCAGCCAGTGCGGCGA